TTTATAATACAATATGATACAAGAAAACACAGTAAAATTATGCAAATGTATAATTTAATCATATAATCACCAAATGATAATATAATACATGCATATATACTAATGTGTAATATGTTATAATACACTCTACTATAATACACTAGAGGACATAGACCGGTAGTACTCCACTTAGATAGTACTCCATTGAGATCATTCCTCAACTTTTGATTTAGTGAAGCAAAATAATCGCACCAGTGCGAAATGGAGGCCTCTTAAAAACTGTGTCACGTGGATACAACTAAGTTGGCCTCTCCATATCCGAACCGCGAACAAGCCATTCACCAGCTGTTCTCAGGAGGATCAACCCATTCCACTGCAGAAATGCCTTGAAATGCCTAAATAATTATGGAACTTTGAACCGGAACAGACAATTCAGTGCAGTCAGGATGAGTAGATGTGTTTTTCATACAAAGAATACTTTTTGCCTAATTTAACAGCAACGTTATGCGCGTTCCTAAATGGCAAAAGATATTTGTCACCATATTTGGCGATGAAGCAAAAGGCGACTACTGAAAGTTAAGCCGGGAACCGAACACATTAAATGAACCTATTGCCATAAAAATGACACTAATCAAGCTTTCCTTCTAGTCTGCATGACCGGTAGAGTAAAAATCATCAAAACTACGATTTATTTGAAGGAGCGAGGGTAGAAAACAGACCTCAGTCACACTTACTGTGTTGCTTCCAAGCCAGGTTCTTCACTTGGCCTAATTTCTTTTGTACTGAAGCCTTTGTAAATGAAATGGGTACCGGCTTTGTGGCTGAAATGTGCTGACCTTCAACTGTTGGGTTTTCTGCCGGTAGAATGCAAAAGATGATACGAATTGAGTCACTCATTACACTCATAATAAGGATGTGTTTGTGGAGACATGTTTATCTCAGAATATTTACTCACCCAACTGGGGTCGCTTTGCGAGCAGTTGATATGACTCAGTGATTCCTTAAAAAGAATAGTAAAGAGGCAGTACAATTGCATGGTGCGGTGGGAGAAATCTCAGTTCACCTAAAACTATCCGATTGGAGACACAAAATGACTATTTTGTTAAAGTGAATGACGGTCACCTTATTAAAGTCATCAATACAGACCGTAGTTCTTGAATAAACAAGCATGTAAACCAACGTGAAACCTTGTTCATCCCTACTTCTTATTTTCACATTCATGTGAGTGTACGCAACTGGTTATTCAACATGAATCTCCCTTCAATGTGCGAAGCCTTGAGAGTACCTTTTGATGAATCTGAGCCATACCGACCAATGTGAGGCTATGTGGCAGGAGTTTTGTAATGGGCGAACTTTTATCCTGTTCTTTTCTAATATTCGTAGCACATGAAGCAGGTAATTAGAACGTCTACCGAGAAATTTGGTGCCAGTCCGAATGGATGCTTTCTAGTTGTGCAGCGTAATCCAGTGTGGCTTGAATGCATCTTGACTCCATTTCTGCCCCATTTGACTGCCGTCGTCACGGCTATTCATGTTGTTGGATTTAACTCAGGATATTTACAGGCGCCAAGGCAACCGAATCGGGGTTTCGTCCGCGCTACTTAACCAGTTGCGGAAGTTTGTGACCGCGTAACCTGAGTGCAGTTTCTCATATATTAAGAGAACCAGCTTCGAACGTGACGGGACTACGAAAGAGTCAATGGAATAACCGGTTTCGTTGAGACAGATTTCATTGGTTTTTCTTCACTCGCCCTTGACAGATGACACGCTTGTACACGACAGCGATCAATAAGTCAGCCGGTCCGGACGTTGGTTGACTTTTTCTGGTTTGGCCAAGCGCACCAGGCGATCAAGCAGCTATCCACACCGAGGTTCACGGTAATAAGAAGGCACTAAGGGGACTGTGGTCCAAAACATCATGTAAAACCTGAACTGTGTGGTGCCATTTGATTAAACATGAGCGAAACCCGTAAAAAAGGTGAAGAATATCATAAACGAGAGATTCACTTGAGTGATAAGCAAATTGATTTGCAAATAAGTGGGTTTGTCGAAAAGGTGTTCTAATTGAGCAAATTTTTTTGCTTTATTTCAGGGACGATGACAAATCTTTCAGCCCGAACATCGTAAACAGGATTTCGCACGTAATTAGGTTCGAAGAGTTTGGACGATTGACCGAATTCTGCGTCGGCTGTATCCCAAATGATATAAAGTATCAGAGCTTTTGGCGTGCAAATCTACGAGATCGAGTATCTGACGACACAGTTGTCCAGAGGGCTAATATTCGACTGTCGAGAATTTGTGTTCATAACCTCAAAAATACAGTTTATGATTTTTTCACAGCAAACTTATCTGCAGCTTGTTCCTTGGTGCGTGGGGGCGACATGGCTCAAGTGGTTCGAGCGTGAATTTACTGACCAGGAAGTCCGTGGTTCGAACCTGATCTCTACCTCCAGACTTCTCCTGTTTGGCTTGGGCAACCTGGCACCATCCCAGCCCTCGTGTAACCTTCGGGTTGCATGGCAGCCAGGCACCGAAAGAATGTTATAGCTGAGCGTGCATGCAAGGTTCCCCATGGACACATTTCTCTCTGCACTAGGGTAGTCACCGCATGACTTCATTTTCCATGCATTCTAACTAGCTCTTCAATGAACCAGACTGCGTATACATGCCAGTATACAAATCTTCAAGTAATGGTATCCATGGATCCTACGTCTGCGGATCGGAAGCACAGATGTTCCAGAACCTTCTTCTACAGGCCAACGACATATAACCAAACAATTAGTAGTTCCACGCTTCTTCACTGATTGGAAGGAAATACGAATCCACCTCAAGGGCCAGTATACTACTACTCGTGATTACTGAACATAAAAACCCAAACAGTGGCTTAGAAAGATCGATCGAAATGTTCTGACTTTCTGTCATTCTCAACAACTTTGGCCCCTACAACCCAGCTGAGCCTCCTACCACCTGGGTGCTTGCAAGAGACGCATGTTAACTTCAAAAGTGTTATGGTAGACAACAATTCGTCTTCTCCACGATAAATTGAATATCCCAGAATTACTACACTCTGTTCATCTTCATTGTAAACAGAGAATATTGCCCCTAGGAAACAAAACAAGCTAAGCTTGGTGTCATTTCCAGGCTGATACATTCTGTAGAATAGCGCCAATGTGGAGAATAGATCCTCGAAAGAATCGACGGTATCAGTGTTTGGAATAAATTCCGGTAGGACATAACCGGGAAGCTGCAAATGGATGTAAGCATCTGCAACCTTTGAAAGTACGCGAGGATATCACCATCATCAAAGACAACAACATCAGTGTTGACACTGATGCTTCATTGTCGTACAACCACAAGGCTCTTCTAATTATATTTAAAGTCATAGAGTGAAAAGAAGAGAAAAAGGGTGAATGAGGGGGGAAACGTGGTGCCATCCAGAATCAGCCACGCTTCTGAGACATCGGTGGTCAGATAGCTGGATACACCTCACATTATCTGTCGACAGAGGCCAAGTCACGCACCCATACAACAACACAGCCCTTACTGTAGCCTGGCACACACGACCCTTAAGATCTAGTGAGATGCCTTTTTGACGCCACAAGTGATGCAAATTAGCAAACATGTTTCGAGCCTTTGAGATTCTTGCTCTGACTCCATCAGACACACTTCCATCAGAGCTAATGCAACTACACACACTTCCATCAGAGCTAATACAACTACCCAGGTATGTAATGTTTACCACAATCTCCGGTGATTCTCCTTGAATTGTAAAAAATATGTTCTCAGACCGCACGTTCTGAAGCATGACTTTGCACTTTGAAGGAGGTAAGCATCTGCATTGTTTGAAAGCGCAAATGGAGATGTCATCCGTTGAAAGAAAATTCATTATTCCCAAACGATAACTCACAGGTTGAGAGGAAAAAACAAACAAGCTGAAAAACAAAACGGTGGTTCTTATCAAAGGACAAATCTTATAAGTGTCCATCAGAAAAAACGCAACTATAGCATTCAACACGGTGAGTAGAGCATAGATTACCATTCCGAAGGTAGCGTATTGCCAAGACCCGTAAAAAAATTGCGCAGACTCAGGCGCGTCTTTAAAAAGTGAGGAAATTCTAGAAGATTGTAGGTGTACTCACTTTGAAGTGAAGTAGTCCCATGTCTTTCGCCCATAATATTACTCACAGAACACGTGTAGTCCCCAAAGTCGGCCGGGTTGAGCTTGAAAATAGTCAATTTCGATATGATTGGAGCCAGAACATTGTTGGGGTGCGGGCGGTGTTCAACTGTGGATTGGTCGGAGAACAAGCGGTTGGGTAAATTTTACGCTGGTGGTAGTTAGAAGCTTTGGTTTGGTACAAGACTTATTATTGAACAAATTCCCGACGATTTGGCAAAGTTAGCTAACTCAGCTATGTAAACTTTGACAAAATAAAACAAAGGACTTAGCAAAACTCACTTATGTCGTCTGTGCCGGGAGAATGAACTGTTTGAGAAGCTATCTATTGGAGATCGCCTCACAGCTTAATGTGGAATGTCTGAATAAAGACCCAGAAGGGTTTCTTTGAATTGCTACGAAGCTACTTAGGACAATGTGTTTTCATTCCGGTGGCTTGTAGGCTACTACTTGACGTTTTTTCCGAAAAGCATAAAAATTTCCGTAATACTTTGAAAATTAAAACTGTGGTTGATTTGTGAGACTGTTGGGAAAACCGGTGAATGGTTACTCAACAAAATTGTTAAGATAAATTTTATATTTGTTGATCGGATTTGTGGTTCTTGTTGAAACTGCATCCTGAAATCCGTGTTCTGGGGGAATTCACTGACCCATGGTGTTTTTTTCACGTGTAAGACTAAAAATGTTCCCACAAATCAACATCATAAAACTCTTTGGGAATACGAGGTTCGTGGAAGAACCTGTTTGCATCACATCGAAGATTTTCGAGTTCAAAGTCGCACATCAAGGCTTCAGTGAGCACAATTTAGTAGGTTTTGAACAGTCATCCCCATCTCAGTGATGGCAGTTACTCTCTACCCCTCGTGAAGATGATCCCGTGGGCTGAAACTGTTCACCTGGTCTATTGAAAGAATAACAGCGATGAAAACCAGCGTTTAGTAATGTGGTTAAATATTGGTAGCTCGGGTGAGTTTATTGGTTGTTGATCTGTTCGCCGAGTTTGGCAATTGGCTTGCAAACGTTTCGTCACCATACGAGGAGACATCATCAGCGCGCAGTTGGGTGAGTACTTCTTCCTTGCCTGCGTGTGTTTATATAGCAGTCAAAGGCCATCTGTTATCTTCTGACGTGATTGGCTGCCTGAAGTGTAACGAGTCTAGTGAATCTATTGGTCCGTTTATGGTCCTTGTTGCGTTGTGGTCTGCGTTCCTTTGTGTTGATTGGTTATCCCAACGGTTTCTAATTTTAGTAGCT